GTGGCTCTGAACTGTGGCTCTGAACTGTGGCTCTGAACTGTGGCTCTGAACGTGGCTCTGAACGTGGCTCTGAACGTGGCTCTTCGTACCTCGGGGTGATGTAGGCCTGCAGATCCGTCCCCTCCTCCGGGGCCAGCGGAGCGTCGCTCGCGATGTTCAGGAAAATCAGGTAAAAGGCAACAAAGTGAGTGATGAGTCCCAGCAGCACCACAGGGTTCCTCCCAAACCGGTTACTCTTGTTCAGCATCCCAAACACGCCCCCTCCTGGCCAGACAGAGGAAGGGCAAAGAAAACAACTTGCTCAGGTGGGTTTCATGTGACAGACTGCTTCATCAATGAGCGTCAGGACGAGACACAGCTCAGACAACTCACCTAAGATCTCGCCTATGCCGATGAAAATCCCAGAGATGCCGATCAGACTCTTTGCATCTTTGCCAAACCCTGTCATGGCGCCGACACACGTCCCGTACACCCCGCTGTAGAAAGTGAGCTCCAAGCCTGATGGAGACAGAGCAGAGGTTTCAGTTGGATCATGATCTCAGTTCGACGTCTGCCTCCACAGAACTTCTCGTCCCACTGACCCGTGTATCCGATGGAGACGCTCAGCAGCAGCATCTCTTTGGTGACAAATATCTTACAGGCTTGAACTGCGAACAACAAAGTGGATGTCGACATCAGAGACAGTTGTGTCACAATAAAAGGATAAAACCTCACGAGGAGCGGGTTCATGATATAAACTCACCGAAAGCATCCAGAGCTTGTGAGCAGAGGCCTGAGTGAGGGGAGCTGCAAGAACCAAAACACAAGATGAGACGCCAGTGATCGCCTGATGAAGCCGACACTGAAGTAACTGGAAGATCTTCTCTTTAACTCTGTCCCTCCAACATTCACAGGCTCGTATCGTCTCTCAGACATTTTCACCTTTCCACTCATCCCTTCACTGGACTCGGCTGCTGCGGCGACTGTATCACAGTCAACGAGTGATGTAGGACATTCACAGTTAAAGGTCACCTGTCCGTCCTCTACTGGCCCGATAAAATAATAAAGAGCTCCATCTATCTTTAAAAATCAAATCTTTTCCAGGACATTTACAGGTTTGTGAAAAATCTTATTTCAAAAATGTCAAGAGGCTCGAGAAGGTTTAGTCCTGACAATGATCAATGCTCTGCACCCCCTCTGTCATATGACAGCATCTTTCAGTTCAATCACACTGTAAATAAAGATGGACGACGTGACGGCCCCCAAAGTGAAATTAAAGTTGATAAAAAAGTTTGTCAAAGATGTTTCTGTCATTTCAGGTCGTTCTCATCTCACTGAAGTTTGTTCCAGTGTTTCTGATCAGTTTGGTTTAATTAATCTGAGACGAACTCTTGATTGGTAAAGTGCTTGTGTGGATAAATGAACTAAACCCAACATACATAGCTGTGGAGCTGTCTGTGGACTCGGCCTGCAGCAGCGACTCCGTCGCCTCGGAGGGAGACGATTCAGGGTCGGGCCTCCGGATCAGAAAGAAGAGGAAGCAGCCGACCAGGCTGATGACGGTCAGAGAGATGAAAACCGTCTGACGGTCTTTGTCTGAGACGAACAACATGAGTCACACTTTACTTCTCACGTGAGGTCACCATGGAAACCACTGACGAGCAGTAAATGTACATATGAGGCAGGTACCTGTTATGTGAACGTGTCCGTGCCAGGCACAGTAAATGTAGAGGTTTCCAAAGAACAAGCTGCAGAGAGATGAATGGTATTGAATCAGAGTGTGGACAGATTACTGAGCGGGCCCCAGAGGGACCCCGACTTTTCTCTTCTATTCTTACTCATTACCTAATTCAAACTAAAGAGCAGCTCCTTTTTAGGAGCCATCAAATAAACTGTAGCTGTAGTTTTTCTGCATCATTAATTTGTCTTATTGTATTTCATCACTCTTGCGTGTCCATGTTTGTTCTGTGGGTGTGGCTCTTCAGTGATTGGCAGTTTGTCCCGGGCTTCTTTACTTCTTGGAAAAGTTCAAGAGAATAACAACTCCTGAGTTTACCTGAACTGCAGCAGAGCCCAGAATATTCCGCTGTTCCTTCCCATGGTGTTGTCAGTGGAGTTGATGGTGAGCACGTTCCCCTGCGCCGTCCAGAGCACTGGACAACGAACACACAAACACTGATCCACGTACATGCAAAGGAGAGTTGTTTGTTTCCCAAATTTAAATGTCGGCTCGTGTATTGTTACCTGCTGCTCCTACTCCGACCAACACAGACGCTGTATAGAAGCTCCACGTGTACGGGTAAATGAACATAGCGATGTAGCCGCTGTGGAAACAACACGAAGAAGAGTCAGAAGCTGGATTGAGCAGAAAAAGCTGCGGACAGGAAACGTGTGAGTGAGCGTTTACCTGTACAGGAGCCCACTGAAGAACATGGAGAGCTGTGGTCCGATGAGGGTCACCACTGACGGAGCGATGAGGTTGGACGCAGAGAAAACTCCATAGATGATGGCCATGCTGCGCGACAGACGACAGGACAGCTCTACCTCTTACTCCAGAATTGGCAGGTACACATGTTTGGTTTTTTTAACACAGGTGAACTCATTTAAAAAGGTGACTGACTCTTCTCCTCTTGACAGCTGACGAGTTTGTCTTTCAGTTTTTTTCCCTGTGAGTCATGTTCAACGTCACAAAACTCACATCGCTGCCAAAGGCTCAACAGACTCCTTATGAAAACACATCTCAATTCACAAGCTCTGGATTTTTGTTTACATCTGCACCGAATTTCACAAACTCTTAAATATCACCTGAACATGACTGTTTGGTTTTTTTATGAAGTTCCCTGGATCCGCCCCCTGACTGAGAACGTGATGAGTTCTTCTCTGACACGTGTCACTTCCTTCCACCGAGTTTCATGGTATTCACTTCAGTGGAAGCTAACTAACAAGATACACCAAATAAAGCACAGGGAACTTCTTGGTGGAGGTAACGCTGGCGCCATCTTAGTAAAAACACCCCCTGCTTTGTAGCACGGACCTCTGGACTCTTCTTTAGTTCCATCCAGAGTCTGTCACACCAGACGTCCAAACTCTTAATGAGTCACGAACATTGTTGTCAACACATTTTGCAAGATGTTGATTTTAACTGTTTGACGACAGGAGCGAGGACACGACCCAAGACAGGGAAGGAGAAACTGATTCAGACCCTCGACCTTTTAAAACCCTCTGTCCCAGTGAGAGCTCTGATAACCGGACGAGTTCACTGCAGATAAGAGACAAAGAGTCGCAGGAGGTTTCCTGATGTCCTGAGCCGCTGCTGCAGACTGAAGGGAAACTTTGTTCCCTGCGACATTCATCTACAATTTGATTATCCTTCAGGGATTTCTGAGTCAGACAGATCTGATTATAGAAGGTGGCACGACAGCAAAACATCTGCACAAACACTGTAAAACCTCAGTGTGGGAGTTACTGATACTTCACCTTGTGTATCCGCTCCCGTGGAACTCGGTGCTGTTGAAGCTCTTTAGAACCGTTTGCTGTGAAGACAGAGCAGCATGAGAGAACGTGTTTCATTGTGTTTAGCCGCTGGGGGCTGTGCACCTGTAAATAAATCTAACCCACCTCTATGTTTCCACATGTTTGAAAAGCGGTGAACATAAACATGAAGCCGAAGCCGAGGATGATGATGTTCAGAAGCTTCTTCCCCTCAGGATTCATTTTGGAAACTGTTTGAGGAAGTGAAGACCAAAAAAAACTCTACTGGAGCGAACAGCACATCTGAGGAGGGAAGGAAAAGAAGAAACACAAATACGAGACGTGAGAAACATCCATGAAATCTGATGCTCTCATAGTAACAACGCCTAGCCTTAAAATAGAAGAGAATCCACACACCAAACTACATTCAAAAATCTGTTGTTTTAAGAGAAACACACAGAGACAACGGATAGTGACGACTCATGAAGGCTCGATGACATGAGTGATAGGGCAGCACGTGCCCAACACATCGGCAGACCACAGATCACACAGAGACGAACATTTGATCCAGAAATGAACTTTGGGAGTTTGTTTCCCCCTCGTCGCCTCCGGCCTCGATGTGTTTCCATGATCCGTGAGAGAAAGATCTGAGTCTGAGTGACACGGTCTGAAAACACCAGTTGTTAGGTTTCCTGTGTTTCATGCTGAGCTACACGAAGAGGAACTGCTCCAGACACTGATCACATGAGGAGCATTCACCTCCTTCAGACTGTCGAAGGTTAGAAAACTACATCTCAACTCACCGACAACTGGGGACACGAGCTGAGCTAACCGGGCTCACTGTGGCTTTAGCATCGTTAGCTGCTGGTGGCTCAGGAATCCTCCTCTGGCCCGAGTGACCCGCAAACCACCGGAGACATGACGGTGTCCGCCGCGAAGAACCGGGCTCCTGAAGTAATGTTCGCCGCAGCACCGGGACACGGCAGCTGAACCGGAGGCTGTCATGTGAGAGAGTCAGCTGACCAGCTAGCTTACCCGTTAGCCTGTAGCACGAGCCCGCGGACACGCGGGGTTCGGAGCAGGAGTTCAGCAGCAGAGGACAATGATCGGTGCAGTTTTTATTCCAGCACGTGTTCGGACACCTCGTGTGGAACCAGACACGTCACCCTGAGTCTGCTCCGACAGAGTTCAGGAGTCGCTCACTGCTAGCATGCTAGCACAACAAGATAACTTGCGCAACTTCCGATCAAAAATAAAACAACATATGCACATGTAGAATTGATGTATTATTATATTTTTAAACCTGTATCGATGAAAGCTGCTGTATAATATTAATGTTATTATATTATTAGAGGTGATACCGGAAACGTTCAGGTTTCTAAAAGAGGAGAATGTAGTGCAGTCTGACTCCCACTCCTCTCCAGACGGGGGCGGTGGTGCGCCGATAACCAACCGCCATTAAACCCTCGAGGAGGAGGAAGAAGCCTCAGAAGAAGAAGCAGCAGCAGAAGTTCCGCAGCGTCTGACTCGATCCTCGAACCGAACGAATCCACGTGCGTCAACGTTTCCGTCCGTCTCCACTCTTCGACCCTGAACCGTGTGAGCGGACGTTTCGCCTCCCAGCGGAGACTCCCGGTGTTCGTGAGACGGTGACCAGGCCTCGCGGGCTCCTCGCCATGAGTTACGGAAGGCCTCCCCCGGACGTCGACGGCATGACTTCGCTCAAAGTGGACAACCTGACGTACCGGACCTCCCCAGAAACCCTCCGGCGGGTGTTCGAGAAGTACGGCCGGGTCGGCGACGTCTACATCCCGCGCGATCGCTACACGAAGGAGAGCCGCGGCTTCGCCTTCGTGCGTTTTCACGACAAGCGCGACGCCGAGGACGCGATGGACGCCATGGATGGCGCGCTCCTGGACGGACGGGAGCTCCGGGTTCAGATGGCCCGGTACGGAAGACCCCCCGACTCCCACAACGGAGGCGGCGGCGGCGGTGGCGGCGGCGGAGGAGGAGGTGGCGGACGGCGAGGAGGAGCGCCCCGGAGGCACGGAGGAGGTTATGGCCGCCGAAGCAGGAGGTGAGAACCAGTTAGTGTTTCATGAAACTACCGCGGGAGAATCCGACTTTTCGCTTTGTCCTCGACCCGCCGACCCGAACACGCTCACACAGAAGAGGAGACGTGTTTATTTCCACCGGTCTGACTGAAACCACAGTTCGGCTGAAACTAAATTCATGTAAATACATTATCAAGAGTTTTCTCCGTAAATAACAAACTGCATGTTCCTGAAGTAACCAGGAGAAACTAAGGATCCAGCATCGATTCATCATCAGATGTTCTCACATATGAACCGTCTTCATTGACTAATTCTAACTAATAATATTATAATATAATAAACTCTCTTTACAGCGCTCTTCTTTAAAACGTCACCAAGTGCTTTTCAAGAAGCTATAAAACCGAAAGTGGTTGAGTAAAAGGACTTTGGTCACATGAGAGATAAAGCAGTAAATGAATTTTATATATAGAACAAACAATTAAACAAGTGTAACCCAATCATTCCTAAAAGCTCATTAAGAAGTAAGATAGATGACTTTACTCATCCCCAGAGGGAAATTGTGTCGTCATAGCAGTTCGGTATTTGGAGACAATAAAAATACAACAGAATAAGAGAAGTTCTACGTGAGAGAAGTTGGGTGAGAGTTCCAAAGTGTTCTTAAAACACAAGATCTCCTCTTGGGAGTGAGGAGCAGGGAGGGAACATACAAGTTCAATACATGTGTGTTTTTGGGCTGTAAAGTCGGTTCTCGAGCTAACAGTCAGTGTAGGGAGCCCAGACGGGTAATCAGGTAATCAGGACGAGAATAGATAAAAGTCTCATCTGATCTGCTGATGTAACTCTGATCATATCTGTAGGACGATGTGTTGGGGGTGTCAGTGTGACCCCCTTCAGGTCCAGCTGTTTTCACTTTGCCGATGATAACCCAACCCACTGAATGTATCCAGCTCTTCCCGCAGCCCGAGACAAAGAAGACGCAGCAGATCCCGCAGCAGGAGCCGCTCTCGTTCCCGCAGCCGATCCCGCTCCAGCAGATCCCGCTCCTACTCCAGATCCAAGTCCCACTCTCCCAGGAACAAGGACACCAAGGCCAAGTCCCATTCTCGCTCCAGATCAAAATCCAAGTCCAAGTCCAAGTCTAGGTCCAGAAGCCACACCCCTGCCTCCAAAAGAGGGTCCAGGTCCAGGTCTAAAAGCCAGCCCAAGTCCGCAGCAGAAAACGGAGGTGAAACCCCGTAGAGATCTGCACATCAGCAGCAGGTGAGTTTGATATCAAAGCACTAAGACAATTTAATTCAAGTTTTATTTCCTGTGGCTCTTTCAGGTTGTTGAAATGTGGCTGCAAAGAATTCAGGAGGATTCTGGTGTAATTTTAATTTAAAACCAATTTAGACCCAGACTGAGAAAAATACATTTTACTTTGAAATAACAATGTCTCGCCTAAGAAAAACACCGATGCTTGAATTAGTTGACAGACTCTTAACTTTTCCTTTTCTTTTTTGTTAAAGAACAGTTGAAACAAACTTGAATGTTGGTTTAGTGCTGAGGTACGACTCCTCCCTCTGCCCCTCGGGCATCAGCTGTCCTGTAGGAGGATGGTGTTAGGGTTGTGGTGCTTGGGAGGAATTGAGGTTTGTCCAGCTTGTCGCTCAAGTCATCCCCACTTTGTTTCATTTCACCTCTATTGTCTTCTTTACTTTTTAATATTGTAGATCTGATGGAGGTCTTTTCTCTTTACTCAATCACCGTCCAATCAGAAAGCTTTCTGGAATTTTTACCTTCCTCCGTGTGACTATAAATTCTGATCGTGACTTATCGGCACACGGGAAACGGCTCTTTCCCATTTATTGGTTAAATCCATAGGAGAAGATGGTGGTGAGACGTCCTCGACAACAGAGTGTAGGTTGTTGTCACGGCGCTCCATGTTGAGCTGCTGGTCACATTCAGAGCTACTGGCTGATGGAAACACGTCCATATTCACAGAACTTCATGCTTTTACCAGAAACACGTTGATATGAGGAATCAAACGTGCAACGTCTGTTTCATAGAGATTTAGAGGATAAGTTATTTTTAGATCATTGATGTAGCTTCCTGTTTCCAATCAAGTTCAGCTCAAACTGCACAAGTGATCAGGTGGAGGTTTGTTAAATGAATTGATTCATAAATGTTCCCTAACTGTTCCTTCTTTTGACAGTTTCAGGTGATGACGTCAGAACTTCTTAGACAGGATCCCACACGAGCGACGTGTCCAGCTGTTAAAGGTTATTACTGTGTTACCTGTTGCTTTGTTCTTTCACTTATTTGGCCTCAGTACAGCTTTTTTTTTTTTTTTTTCATGTCATCTATGTGCTGTGATTTTTATTTTACTTTTCATAACATTTTTATCATTTATAAAAAGGGTGGAAGTCGTGTTTAGACACGACTTCAGATGGGTTCACTCTGCAGCCTGTATCACAGAGTGTGTTCCGCAGAGTCTCGCTTGCTTTTGAGTTTCTTCTTTGCAAACATTCATATTGTAGAAATGTTGACCTGGGGCGGGGGGGGGCTGCTGTTTTATACTAGCTTCTCTGTAATCTCACTCTCTGATACAGGCGTCAAAATAATGAGACATAAACATCAGGCCCTCACTAAGAACGCCAAAATGCATTTTTCAATATGGAATAAAAAAGACATCCAAAGTGACCCAAAGCATAAAAAATGTGAAGAAAATCTTTTTAGTTTTCCCTTGATTCAGCCCTCACACACCAGTATACTCGTTAAATTGAAGTAATTCCTCATTAACAACAATGAATGCTTCCTTCCTTTGGTTGCTGCTGCTCAGGGTGTTGTCTGTGTAGTCAGGACAGTCGTTTATTCTAACTCAAGTTAAATATAATCACATGTGAAGTCCAGTAAATTGAGTGAAACTTAAAGTGTGGGTAAAGGTCATCAATGTGTAGAATGTGTCATGTCCAATTTTAAGGTATCACTCGTCTCCTCGAGTCATTTTATTTTAAAGGATATCATTCTCTGCACTCTTAGACTCTGTGTTTTGTTCTTCATGTTTTCTTTTTTTAATTTCTGATCCTAATCCTGCCTGTATGTGTTTTTGTGCACTAGGCGCAGTTGTGTAGCAGTTGAGTATTGCTGGTTAGCTGTTAAGGTGGCGTGTTGCTCTGCTGAGTGCTTGGATGTATCCAGTATTCTCCAGAAAGCTCCTGTGACTACCAGTGGTACGGTCGCTGCAGTCTCATGCTCTGTACCATCAAAAGTTTATTTCCCATGTGATCGAAAAATGAGACCTTCAATAAAGAGTTATTTGGTATTTTTGACGACCTCTTTTTTTATTCCCCAGTTTGTTTTTGGTGTTCCAAAGGTACAGTGTCTAGAATTGAGTGACATCTAGTGGTGAAGTGTCATGTTGCAGCTGAACACCCCTCCCCTCCCCCTCTCCTTCCAAACTTGAAAAACAACCTGCGGCAGCTTCAGTCGTTATAAAAACTCAGTGTTTAGTTTGTCCAGTCTGGACTAATGTAAAAAACATGGCGGCCTCCGTAGAGAGGGTCCCCTCCATGTAAATATAAAGTGTTTAAATATAAAGGATCTTTTCTAGGGTAGAGAAAACTACAATTTAGATGAAACAAATTAGTGAAAACATCATGAGGATTATTCTACATTAAATTTCTGCCGATAGTTTCCTTTCACCTAAATCTTACACACTGGAGCTTTCACTGTTCTACATGTGCAGTTCAGACTGATAATTTGATCTTGACCTCCCTTGTTTTTTAATTCAATGAATGGTAACTTGACTCTCTGCAGTAGAAACGATCTAATTTGTACAGCCCGTATTCACAAATCACACTTTGTCTCAAAGATCTGAACAAGGTGGAACATCTTGTGTCCTTCACCCTCAACAAGAGGAAAATCCTCCATATTAACAGTAAAAACATAGAAACCTCAGTCACATGTGAGGCCTCTTCTCCCAGGGCGGGCAGAAGGGCTGCGTGTACCTGAACTCATTCACAAGTGAAGCCATGAATCGCGTATGATGTAAAAAGTAGGGGTAAAATATTATTCCGTGATAAACAGCACAAATATGGCTCAGCCTAAGAACTACAATCATATAT